GGAGAGAAATCTTGTCTCGGAGATGTTGGAAGACTTCTCTGAGAAAAAGATTGTTGTTGAGTAGGGGAAGTTAAAGGATCCTAAAACGCTCGAGCAGAAAGAAGATATGAATCTTTATATATTTGACACTGGTAAATAATTAATACTCCGATATTATAAATTTGACATAGTTTTATTACTCGATAGTTATTTTACTGAATTTATGTGATTAAACAAAAACATATATATTAGTAACAAAAAAGTGGAATCAACTTTCGGTGCAATCGCCGCCACCTGGAAGGCATGGTCATTCTGTCACTGTAATTGGAACAAAAATGTACATATTCGGTGGTCAAACCGGTGAAAATTATTTAAATGACTTGATTGCTTTTGACATGGAAAATTGTATGTGTTTATTTATTGAAAAGCTCTAAATGTTTGAGTAATGAATCATTTAACTAACATTTCTAACATTTCTAACATTTCTAATATTTCTAATATTTCTATAAATTCATTGCTTTTAAAGATGACTCGTCAAATGCATGTTGGGAATTTATCGCACCAAAGGGTCCTCTTCCCCCTGGAAGAACTGCACATATATCATGTGCTTATAATGATAAAATTTACATGTACGTACTTTACTAATTCTTTTTTGGTTTTCCTTTTTTACTACCCAAATATTTAAAAAATTGGAAATTTTAGGTTCGGTGGAATGGATGGTGACAGGTGTTACAACGACATGTGGTGTTACGATATACACAACAACACGTGGTCACAATTGTCCTGTGTTGGTTTCATTCCCTTCCCACGAAAATACCATAGTGCTACCATCATCGATGGAATCATATACATCTTTGGTGGTTTAGATCAAGAAGATAAAGAATTGGGTGATTTGACCTCATTTCAAATAAGTACCCAAAGATGGTACATGTTTCAAAAAATGGGTCCTTCTCCGAGTCCTCGGTATTTGCATACTATGAGCGCTGAAAATGAAAAGATTTTTGTTTTTGGTGGTGAATCAAATCAATCTTCAAAACCTGATGAAGATGGTGTAATTCATATTTTAGATACATGTAATGTATTATAAAGTATTATATTCTTTATTTTGATGTTATCATTTTTTTATAATCATTTTATGTAATTGTTAAAATATTTACTTCTTATACAGCCAGAATAAAATATCCTAGTCAAGAACCACAATCTCAACAAATGTTATCTCAACAACAACAATTGTTGTCTCAACAAATGCTATCTCAGCAACAAATGTCTTATATTCCTCAACAACAACAATCTCAACAACAAACCCATTCGCAGAAAAAGATACCCCAGCAACAAATTCATCAACAACAAATATCCCAACAACAAATTCATCAACAACAAATATCCCAACAACAAATTCATCAACAACAAATACCTTCGCAGCAACAAATAATGTCTCCTTATTCGACCCCTTTAACTTCCCCTACTCAACAACAATCTTTTTCTCAGAGAAGTCTTCCAACATCTCCGAGACAAGATTTCTCTCC